TACGTCCTCAGTATCTGTACCTACTCCGTTATCAGCATCCTCACCGTCACCGTCTCCACCCTCCTTATCTTCACCATCTCCTGCCAAGCGGCGTCGTCGGGCTCAGCCGACAGCACATAGTGGCACCGCTACCACCAATATTTCTGCGGCACTGGTCCCAATTTCTCCAGCAACCCTTTTGTTGTCTCCTGTAACAATGGTGGCTACCAGTTGTGCCGCTAGTTGTGCAAATGGTGAATCCGGTATGACGACAGTTAGTGGTGGTCTTCTGGCGTCAACCGTCAAGAACGGGAGTTCTCCTTCATCCACATGCAACAGCTCTACTAATTCTTCAATCGCTGTTGCCTCTAGTAATAATGAGAATAGCATCAGCAATACTACAATGCTTATGGTAGCCACCCCGGCTTGTGGCCGACTTTCGGAAGATTGTTCTAACCTGGGACTTGGTTTGGCAAGAATAGCTACCAGTCCAATTAGAGACGAGTGCGCCTTGAAGCGGCGTAGTGCGATAGATCATTTGATTTGTTCTCCCAGTCTTCTGACTAGTCCCTCGACTCAGCTGATCCTTTCTCCAGTTAGCTGTCATGTAAATAGCCTCTCTGCTCAGGCCCAACTGATTCCCCAATCTCTCTTACCACCTGCGCCACTTCACACTTTGTGCAATGTTTCTTTGGCTTCCACGAACACCTTTATTGATCAGGCCACTCCACATGGAGCTTCTATTGTACTAGCGCCCACGCAATCTTCGCGCTTGACCTCTACACCTCTTGGTATTGATTCGGTAAGTTTTAATTTGACCATTCTCTAATTTTTCTAATATTCAAACAATTTAAAGGTTTCTTGTTTTATAAGCAGGTTTTCGAGACCACCATTAAATCATATATATGAGGTGTATTCATTATAGAAGTGGGTTGACCTCGTTGTCGCAACTTGGTCTTGGACTAGGTGCATTCTACATGGTCTCCCTGAAAACAAGACCAAGTTGCGACAACGAGGTCAACCCACTTC